CATTTACATCAACAGGAAATACACCAATACCAACATTTAAAACATTAACAGAAAATACATCAATACCAACATTTAAAACAAAAATAAACAGGAAATACATCAATACCATCATTTACATCAACAGGAAAAACACCAATACCATCTTTTATATAAACAGGGAATACACCAATACTAACATTTAAAACATAAACAGGAAATACATCAATACCAACATTTACATAAACAGGAAATACACCAATATTAACATTTACATAAACAGGAATCACCAATACCAACACTTGCCCTCTACAACGCCAACACAACAAACATTTACATAAACAGGAATCACCAATACCAACTTTTACATAAACAGGAATCACCAATACCAACATTTACATAAACAGGAAATACATCAATACCAACATGCACATAAACAGGAAATACATCAATACCAACATGTACATAAACAGGAAATACACCAATACCATCATTTACATAAACAGGAATCACCAATACCAACATTTACATAAACAGGAAATACATCAATACAATCATTAACATAAACAGGAATCACCAATACCAACATTTACATAAACAGGAAATACATCAATACCAACATGTACATAAACAGGAAATACATCAATACCAACATTTACATAAACAGGAATCACCAATACCATCGTACTGAAGGAAGCAACATCACCGTTTACCAACTATTTCCCTCCAACACACGTGATCATCTCAGGAAGAGGACATTACTAGATCACGGTAGTACAATAACAGATGTCAAGATAGTCTGGTGACCTATAGATATATTTCATATATATAACTACTGTTTTGATGGGAAGTACCATATATTATGAATTATTTGTTTGCCTTCCAGTCCTTCAATTATGGACAATGAACCCTGTAGGTGATTGTAAGTATGTACATAGATCAGTGTCGGTGTTAGAGCGGCCATAGTCAAATGTTTGATTACAAACGCACATGTTTCGATGCCTTTCTGATTCGTCTTGCACAAATCATAATCAATGAAGTTATCGATTATATAAATTTGATTTTAAGAGAAACTGTTGTAAACATATTTACCCTAGAGACGTTTCAGAAGTACTTGTTCGTAATGGCAACGTAAGAAAATATTGAAACATCCCATTGACATGGATTAAGTTCATGTAATTAATAAATAACACATCTTTAAACAATGCTTGACAAATGACAATCTGAGGAGGAAGACATTTAATTGTAAATATCTGAACTGAGTGCTTAGTTGGCTGGTCGTCACTGATTAATCATTTCTCTTATACACTGAAAATAGCAAGCAAATTTCATGGTTCAAAGTAACGTGTAAGAGGTTGGAAACGTGCAAGAAACCTACCTGAAATGTCTTCTGTCTACAGTAAAACACGTCCAGACGAGGCCGTCCTCGACATCTGGTGTGCCAGTGACGTAACATCACGGTCAGTCCTCGTCGCCAACGTCCTCTGTCAACATGGTGGTTTAGAAAGTAAATACAAGGAAACCATAATCCATGTAATATCGTCCACACTCGAGTGTCCTTATCTCCTTATCAGAGCCCGACCCTCGTACCAGATCACCCCGGGGCGCTATATTGACCTGGCGACACGTGCTCCTTACGTCGGGGACACGTATTTATAGTCATGCACAAGATAATCTGGCACACAAACCACACAGTGCGTCGACAAAGCTCTAGTTTGGAATCACGAACGTGAACTAGTAATAATGACGCTAATGAAATATATTTATCACATCATCGGCCTGTTATCCAGTAAATTCGCCCGTGTAATATTTTTACATATGTCACTAGTATAATATACCCTGTAGCGTTTTTTCATTGGCTGTGCCAGTCATAAATCGATTGTGACGTCATAATATTGACAATGACGTGACGTCATAAATTGTGAATGGCGCAACAAAATGGCTATCTCCGTTTGATTAAGCCCTCAACAGTTTGGCTTTAAAACCTGTCAAAATGTAAGTTTTCTGAGTTATGTGATAAAAAGTAAAAACTTCTAAGACTCGTTTCATAAAATCTCATATGAAATGAAAACAAATTTAAGATCCTTTATGTAATGCTGCATGAAAGGGATACGAATTGTATTGTGATTTTGATGACACGTGCCTTATTTTGTTTGTCTCTGAAATTTTGATAGGGCTCAAGAGGAAGAATTACAGAAATACAAGTTAAACAATGTTAAAGCTCATATATAAGGATTTTAACCTAGCTAAATCTCACTAACTCCATATCTACAAAATGTCTTTCAATGTTCCGGTATAAATAAAGGTATTTTTATTGTTCCCCACTAAAAGATCAAACGTTAGTAGTTCGAAGCATCGCATGGTGTCAAAATTCAACATAGGCTATTGAGGGTTTACTGAGATGAACAGTCCATTCTTCTCATATCTTATCGCAATAATAGCTCTCAGGAGCTACTGTTCCATGTTGATATGTATGCGACTCTAAATAAAGCTTCTTTTATCAAGTTCTACCAAACAATTCAAGATGGCCGCCATGAACTCTTCTTTGCTAGCCCTGCTTAGCTTTGTATTTCTATAATAGCATGAAGCTTACGGACAACTATTCCTTTGAAGCAATGAGTTGTTCATTGCAGTGGAAAAATTACCAAATTGTCAATGACAATGTTTTGTTGGGTTTTTTTGTGTGTAATATATGAGGGTTGAACAGCGCGGTATGTACACTGCCAAATAGGTCTAATATATCCAATATATTACAAAGGGTTTCTTTGCGAAAATATTTGGCTATAGAGCCCGGGGTAGAAAAAAATTGCGTTCGAATATAATCACATGTCTTTGAATATCGCGTCTTAACAATTCAGACTTGGGTAAAATACTAACAGTACTATATACACAGATATAATATATTTAGACAGATCCCGAAGTAGGGTGAGAAACTGAACAGACTTTATAAAAGCCCTACATACATGTTTGATACGCTGTATTGGATAAAAACATGCATTTCTGACTTTTTCTTCAGATAGATCTATCAATGGTGGTGAACGTTTGCTGTCATTTGTCTGTCTCCTGTTGATGCCAGCATTGCTACTCCATGGTAGTTCCCTTTTAATCAATAAGCTGCAACAGCTGGTTTAAGTTTTATTTTCTAGTCGCTGCAGCCAGTGGTATTATTTTGCCAGTTTCTCGAATATTTCAATATGCACATGCACGCGTGTACCCTCACTTGACAAAGCAAACTCGTGTAATAATCACGTACGGCTCACTTGTTTTAAATTGCAAATACAACATGCGTGTCAAACCGCAAAATAACATGTACGTAAATGGGCTTATTACACAGTGATTGAGCTACAGTTGGTCACAGGTCCTAGACGGGAGACTTCACTCAGTGTCAATTACATCTGTATGGTAAACTGCTTCATATGGACGCACAAGATATGATACTCCGATATGAATTATGTAGACACACTAAATAAAGATCCGTAATTACCCCATGAACGACTCATTTTTTTAACCGAGTGTTGATCTACACATGTGAAACACCGTAATTTTACTACGGTCTCAAAACAAATACGTAGGCTTTCAATATCAGTTCCCTGTGATTGGTTGATTTTTTTTCTTTGATCGAATTTGACACTAAAATGAGAGTGATAATGTTTGCTAGTTATATATCCTTTCTTATAACGAGATCAGTATTTTAGCCATAAAAGACAAAAAGACGACCATCCGTGGTTAATGTATCTTCGAAGGATCGTAACAGACCACTACCAGGCCGTTAGAACAGCTAATGGCCGCATCGTGGGTCACAGCAAGCGACAACGACATGCAAAAATCACCGTTTTTACGTCTACATATAACCATGGCTGTTGCGATGACGTAGCATCCGGATTGATAAACGTATTCTGTAAAGGCCATATGTGACATTCAGTTCCGATGATATCAACAAAAACATGCTAAGAATGTTTTAAGTATTTTTAATACAGAGTGTTTTGCCAATATGTTGAAGTAAAAAGTTCATCTGATTGAACAGAGTTCAATTTAACACCCCATGCCGTCAAAAGTCAACAGATAATGGGGTATACAACGAAAACCTAAGTCATATGACGACAGTGTACAAACATAATGGGGTACTACAACAACGTAAGTCATATGACGACAGTGCCCACACATGATGGTACCACAACAACCTAAGTCATATGACGACGGTGTCCTTAGATCACGGGGCCAAAAGCGTCTAAATGTCGTACGAATACAGTGCCCTTAGATCACGGGGCAACAAGCGTCTAAATGTCGTACGAATGCAGTGCCCATAGATCACGGACCCCCAAGCGTCTCCATGTCGTACGAATACAGTGCCCATAGATCACAAGGGGCCAAAAGCGTCTAAATGTCGTACGAATACAGTGCCCGTAGATCACGGGACCAAAAGCGTCTAAATGTCGTACGAATACAGTGCCCGTAGATCACGGGGCCAAAAGCGTCTAAATGTCGTACGAATACAGTGCCATTAGATCACGGGACCACAAGAGTCTAAATGTCGTACGAATACAGTGCCCTTAGACCACGGGGCAACAAGCGTCTAAATGTCGTACGAATACAGTGCCCTTAGATCACGGGACCACAAGAGTCTAAATGTCGTACGAATACAGTGCCATTAGATCACAAGGGGCCACAAGCGTCTAAATGTCGTACGAATACAGTGCCCATAGATCACGGACCCCCAAGCGTCTCCATGTCGTACGAATACAGTGCCCATAGATCACGGGGCCACAAGCGTCTAAATGTCGTATTAATCCATTGCCCATAGATCACGTGGCCACAAGCGGCTAAATGCTGTAAAAAGACAGCGCCCGTAGATCTCGGGGCCACGACCGGGTAAATAATAATAATAAAATACAACATTTATATAGCGCTCTACATAATTCTTAAATTACTCTAAAGCGCTTTACATTATATGGATAATAGTATAAGTCATAATTGTGAAACAAAAACAAAGGCTTACAATCACCTTTATACATTAGGCAAGCAGATAAGCATCGCAATGTGCTCATAAACGAATAAATAAAGGTTGGTATTTACCTGACGTCTTTGCAAAGAGCCTAAAATGCAGACGTGAAGAGGTGAGTTTTGATGTCCATCTTGAACTTGGCCAGGGTATTTGACTTTCTAATAGCAGATGGTAAGCTATTCTACAACGTAGCCAAAACCCTCCCAAAGCACCGGTTTCCATAGGTCACAGAACGAGATTTTGGGACTCACAACAATGATTCTGACTCCGACCACAGTGACCGTGACGGCTGATACAGGGTAACAAGCTCCTGTAGGTACTTGGGAGCTGTTCCATTCAGTGCCTTGTATGTGTACACCAAAAATTTGTACTGCGACCTGTATCGTACAGGTAACCAGTGCAATTAATATAGCACTTGTGTGATGGGCTCTCTCTTTCGAGTACGAGTAACCAGCCGTGCTGCGGTGTCTTGGACCCTCTGCAGACGACTAGTCAGTTTGTCAGAAATACCACAGAGCAGGGCGTTACCATAATTCAACTGAGAGGTAACATGTGAATGCACCAAAATCTTGCATGCATCTGCAGTTATAAACTGCTGTATACAACTTATGTTCCTTATCTGGTAGTAACAGGATTTGGCAATAGCGTTCACTTGTTTATCGATGTTCAGTGAACTATCAAAGTATACCCCTAGGTGTTTAACAGCTGGGACAGGCTCAATAGTTCTGGCACCGCCTTGAGCTGGAGAGCCTTTGCTTGCTGACAGTTTGGGGAAAAGACGATTAGTTCCTGATTAAGCTTTAGCATGTTGGCGTTCATCTAGGTACTGATATCTGTCAGACAAGCTTCCAGATTTTCTGAAATTGTATCCCAACCGTCCTGTGGTTTGATGACCATGTAAATTTGTGTGTCATCAGCATAGGAATGATAGCGAAGGCTATGGCGACGACAAATCTCTCCGATCGGTTTGGAGTACAGGCAATAGTTTCGTGGTCCTAACACCGACCCTTGAGGAACCCCGAAATCTAATACTTTGCCATGTGAGGTGTTAGATCCGATGACAACACACTGTCGTCGTTCACTCAGATAAGACTGTATCCAGCATAGTGCGGTATCGGTTACTCCATTAGGGTACGCAAGACGTTTATAAAATATGCCATGGTCGATGACGTCAAATGCAGCTGACAAGTCCAGCATGATAAGCACCGCTCTGCACTTGTTATTCAATGCAGAAGCTATGTCATATTACGACTGAGACCATATATCACGGGCAACAAACGGCTAAATGTCATATGACAACAGCTTCCTTATATTATTGGACAACAAGCGGCTAAATGTCATATGACGACAGCTTCCTTATATTATTGGACAACAAGCGGCTTAATGTCATATTACGACTGAGACCATATATCACGGCAACAAACGGCTAAATGTCATATGACAACAGCTTCCTTATATTATTGCACAACAAGCGGCTAAATGTCATATGACGACAGATTCCTTATATTATTGGACAACAAGGGGCTTAATGTCATATTACGACTGAGACCATATATCACGGTCAACAAACGGCTAAATGTCATAT